TTAGAGATGAAGAACATAATGAGTGAAGTTGATGTTTATAAAAGAAGTTGATCTGTTAATCCAGAAATGTGTATTTGTAGCCAAAGGCTGTGTCTGCCCTATGAAGTAAAGTATCTTTTTAGATAAGCTGTTTTTTTGTTTTGTTTTTTTTTGAGACGGAGTTTTACTCTTGTTGTCCAGCCTGGAGTACAATGGTGTGATCTTGGCTCACTGCAACCTCTGCCTCCTGGGTTCAAGCAGTTCTCCTGCCTCCACCTCTCTCCTGCCTGTAGCTGGGATTACAGGCGCCTGCTACCCCTCTCGGTTAATTTTTATATTTTTAGTAGAGATGGGATTTCACCATCTTGGCCAGGCTGGTCTCCAACCCCTGACCTCAAGTGATCCACCTGCCTCGGCCTCCCAAAGTACTGGGAATGACAGGCATGAGCCACTGCACCCGGCAACGGTCTAGATAAGCTTTAAAAAGCCAGGCTGGGCGCAGTGGCTCCTGCTTGTCATCCCAGCACTTTGAGAGGCCCAGGTGGGCAGATCACTTGAGGTTGCAGGTTGGAGACCAGCCTGGCCAACATGGTGAAACCCCGTCTCTGCTTTAAAAAAAAAAAAAAAAAAGGAAAAGAAAAAAAGCCACTTAACAGGCCAGGTGCAGTGGCTCACACCTGTAATCCCAGCACTTTGAGAGGCCAAGGGGGTTGGATCGTTTGAGCTCACCAATTAGAGACCCCCCTGAGCAATATGGCAAAAATCCTTCTCTACTAAAAATACAAAAATTAGCTGGGTATGGTGGTGTGCGCCTGTAGTCTTAGCCACTAAGTAGGCTGTGGTGGGAAGATGGTTTGAGCCCAAGAAGCAGAGGTTGCAGTGAGCTGAGATCACACCACTTCGCTTCAGCCTGGGTGATAGAGCCAGACCTTGTCAAAAAAAAAAAAAAAAGCCACTTAATACCGTTCAGTTTAAAAGCAGAGGCTGCCTCATGCCCCAAACATGGAACTCTTTGTAACCTTATGCATTAGAGCTTAGAATTCAGTAAGAATCAGTTGGATTTTGGATCCCATCCAGTGCATTATAGTTTTTGAAAGCGCAACAAGATTTCAGTTTACATATCTTTCATGTTTAAAGTTTGAGCAAGAGGCTTGGTGTGGTGGCTCATGCTTGTAGTCCTAATGCTTTGGGAGGCTAAGGTGGGAGGCTTGCTTAAGGCCAGGAGTTTGAGACCAGCTTGGGCAACATAGCAAAACCTTGACTCTACAAAAAATTTAAAAGTTAGCCAGATGTGGTGGCGTGTGTCTGTAGTTGCAGCTACTCAGGAGGCTGAGGCAGGATCACTCAAGCCCAAGAATTTGTGGTTACAGTGAGCTATGATTGTGCCACTGTACTCTAACTTGGGGGACAGAGTGAGACCCTATCTCAAAAATAAAATTAAGATAGAGTTTGAACAAGGTTTCAGAATAAACTTTCTTCATTTCTTAAATAACTTTTTAAATTAAATACTATGGACTTAGAAAAAATTTAAATATATAGAATGACATAAAGAAAAAAATGTAATCCTTCACCTATATATAAGCACTACTGATACTTTGATTAAGATCCTTCCAGACATCTTTACAGTTACATGTGTACAGTGCATGTATGTGTTTTGTCACTGTAAAGAAGAGAAGGGATCACAGTAATGCTTTTGGGGTGGGAGGAAACCCCGCTTCACATTTAGTAAAAGGAACACATGAATGGAAGAAAGAAAATTAGCTTCAGCATATAAACACTCAAAACAGTTTGTAAACATCTGTTTGATTAAATATTTTGAGGATTATCTTCAACTATCAGGAAAAACGAAGTAATTCTGAAATATATTGTGGGTTCTGAGTTGAACTGAAAGTGCCATGTAGGGGTGTAAAGACTGCTTATCCAGCTATGTGTCCAGGTTAAGGCCTTAACACAGTACTGAAACAGAAGACTATTAACTTTTCACCATTCCCAAACCTCAGGTAGAATAGAAACAGATGTCTGTCCACAGCTCTTTAGCTATTATGTATGGCTGATTAGATGGGGGTATGGACTACATTGCCGTCAACTCAGATAATACTTACTCTTTTAACAAGGTAATACATAAATTGTATATGTATGTATGTTTTTGTTTTAGGATGTATGTAGTAATCAGTTCAGTGATGCTGCTGTGTGATTGAATGAACTTCTGAGTATATCATTAAGGGTTCTTTTCTAACCACTATAATATTCAAGAGTAGTCATTTAGAATGTCTTTAATTTCCTCCAGTTGGTAGCCCAATGGTGTACTGCCTTAAATGTTCAAAAAGTATGCCTCTGCCATTTGCAGTAACTGGAAACCTTAGGAATTTCTGCCAAAGTTCTTCAAAGCACAAAGCTGAAGTATGTATTGAAATGCCTGAGTCAGCTGCTCAAGGGGTATACTGACTGCACTCCTGCTGATTTTTCTAGGGTAAAAAAACCTCCTTGGTGATCCAAGGCAGCTGGCTTTTACTCTGTCTTCCCAGAAGTACGTGTATTTTAACTATGCACAAAAAGCACAGAGATATACTACATCTAAATGCTGGCGTTGGAATTGTCACATTTTCTATGATTACGTTTAATTTCAGCAGATCTTTTAAAATAATATATAAGAAAATAACTCTTCTACTGATTACCATTAAAAAATTTTTTTTTTTGAGACGGAGTCTCGGTCTGTTGCCAGGGTGGAGTGCAGTGGTGTGATCTCAACTCAATGCAACCCCCGCCTCCTGGGTTCAAGCAATGCTCCTGCCTCAGGCTCCTAAGTACCTGGGACTACAGGTGCACACCACCAAGCCCAGCTAATTTTTGTATTTTTAGTAGAGACGGAGTTTTACCATGTTGGCCAGGATGGTCTCCATCTCTTGACCTCGTGATCTGCTCGTCTCGGCCTCCCAAAGTGCTGGGATTACAGGCGTGAGTCATCATGCCTGACCACCATTAAAATTTTTCAACTCTTGTCTAACTTTCTAATTTAGGGAAGGAAAAAGGAAGATACCTACTGTATTCATTGAATATTTAGTATGTGCCTGAAATTTTTATTTGCTTAGTGTTACTTCCATTTTATAGATGAGGACCTCAGAGCAGTTAAGTACAGTCACATAGCTTTGAGTAGTGAGCACAGTTAGGATTTGAACTAGGTCTGCTTGATTCCAAAGGAATCTCATCATGCTATAGAATGAGCTATCAACTATTAGGCTATAAAAGACTATCATCAACCTTATTAAATAAAAAAAAAAAGATGCAGCATGATAAGCATAATATACTACCATATGCATGATCAGATATACATGCACATATATGTATATCTTTATATGTATATGTATGTGTTTATTTTTATACATGCTTAACATATCAGGGTATCTCTTTGAATGGTTGCCTCCAGGAATAGAGACAGAGTAGCTAAAAATTGGGATTTTTATTATAAAATTTTAACGCTTGAGTTTGGTTTTATGTGCATGTATTACCTATTCACAGGAGAAACTGTGTGCACCACTGTGCCCAGCTAGTTTGTCTATAGTTTTTGAAACAAGAACACCACGCCTCAAGTGACAGTAATTGTAGTCATGACTGAAGTAAAAGAAGTATTTTATGAGTTTTAAAATTGAACTTAAAAAAGCATTTTATCTACTGAAAGCTTGATTTTCATTTGGGGCTAAATTAATGGAAATAAGAGTATTTTAAACAAGCAAGGGGGATCAGTTGAGTTGGCTTTGTGCTTATCAGATCATACTTTATCTTGAATATACTTTATTTTTGCGGTTGATTTTAAGAACTGTAATGACCTGTTTACATAGCTGTCTCCGCTACAAGGCTGGGCATTCCTTGAGGGATGGTATCCATACCTCATCTGCCCTTGTATCTTTACTGGCTAGCCTAATTCCCGACAACACTTGGTAGGTAGCTGATAAAAGTTGCCTTGAGTTGAATGGAAATAGAAATACTTATCTTACGGCTGGGCGCGGTGGCTCACGCCTGTAATCCCAGCACTTTGGGAGGCCGAGGCGGGTGGATCACGAGGTCGAGAGATCGAGACCATCCTGGTCAACACGGTGAAACCCCGTCTCTACTAAAAAATACAAAAAATTAGCTGGGCATGGTGGTGCGTGCCTGTAATCCCAGCTACCCAGGAGGCTGAGGCAGGAGAATTGCCTGAACCCAGGAGGCGGAGGTTGCGGTGAGCCGAGATCGCGCCATTGCACTCCAGCCTGGGTAACAAGAGCGAAACTCCGTCTTAAAAAAAAAAAAAAAAGAAATATTTAGCTTAGTATGGGGAGGAGAGAGAAGAGAAAAATCTATCTTCAGATAATTATAGAGTTCTCATGTAGAAGAGAGATTAAGTTTGTCTGTATGGCTTCAGAAGACAGAGAACCAATGGGTAGAAGTATTGAGAAGTTTCTAAAGGTTGAGTCATCTAGAGCCTAGATGGCTCTGTCTTAGAAGGTACTGAATCTTTCTTTGTATCATAGGTTATACAAAAAAAGCAAAAAAGAAAAAAAAAAGGAAGGTACTGAATCTATCTCCAGGGGATTCATGGCTCTTTAACTTACTTTCCCCCACCCCCCACTTTGTGTTTGTTATTGAGGCAGAGTCTTGCTCTGTCTCCCAGGCTGGAGTGCAGTGGCATGATCTCAGCTCACTGCAACCTCCTCCTCCTGAGTTCAAGCAATTCTCCTGCCTCAGCCTCCTGAGTAGCTGGGACTACAGGTGTGTGCCACCATGCCCAGCTAATTTTTTGTGTTTTTGGTAGAGACAGGGATTTACCTTGTTGACCAGGCTGATCTTGAACTCCTGACCTCAAGTGATTCATCCACCAGCACCTCCCAAAGTGCTGGGATTACAGGCATGAGCCACCCATGCCACCCACACCCAGCCATTTCCCCTACTCTGTTATAGACATAGCATGTATGTGAATACGTTACTTATCATTTATTATAGGAAGCAAAATTACTAACCTCCTTCTTTGATTTTGTTGTTCATAGTCAAGTTCATCCGAGAAGTAACACCATACATCAAGAAGCCATCATTAGTATCAGATCTGCCATGGGAAGGTGCAGCTCCCCAGTCACCAAGCTTTAGTGGCAGTGAGGACTCTGGTTCACCAAAACACCAGAACAGTACCAAGGACAGAAAGATCATCCCTCTCAAAATGTGCTTTGCTGCTAGAAACTTAAGCATGCCGGATCTGGAAAACAGGTGAGCTGTACCTAACAAGAACATTATACCTACAGCTTTACAAGCTTAAGGACACGTTCAATATTATATGACTCTGTTAACTAAATTATACAGAGGAAAACATCAGTCTGAGGTTAGAGATGCATTTTTGGGGTTCCATATTTTAAATTATTCCACCTATATGTACATGTATATGTGTAGAAAAAATTTTGGGCAGACACACAAGAAACTTAATGGGTTATCCCTAGGGCATGAAATAAGATTAAAGGGGAGAAAGAAAGAGGTGACATCTTCTCTTTCTTTTATATATTTCTATAATGTTATTTTTTCACTGTGAATATGAATTACTTTATAATTGAAACAAAGTATTGCTAAAGAGTAATTTAAAAATACCTCCTTAGATGGAAATTCCTTATACTGTAGGTAGTATAGAGTTAGAGATCTGCATTATGGTTCTGGCGGAGTCAACCAGCAGTGTGACTCTGGCAAGTTAGCTTCCCTTGACCTCAGTTTCCTCATTTGCAAAATGAGAAAATTAGAATGGATAATTTCTGATGTCCCCCCTAGTTCCATAATCATATGTGTTCTGTAATGAATTAACTTTGTCTTCATTAACTCAGTGAAGTGGCACTGGTAGACTGAATGTTAGGGTAGAGATAGCTATCTCTCCTACAAGGCTGAGCATTCCTTGAGGGATAGGATCCATGTCTCATTTCCCCTTGTATCTTTACTGGCTAGTCTAATTCCTGACACTTGGTAGATAGCTAATAAAAGTTGACCGAGTTAAATGGAAATAGAAATACTTAGGTTAGTATGGAAATACTAAGTATGGAAATGGAAATAGTATAGAAATAGAAATACTTAGCTTAATTTTTTTTTTTTTGAGATGGAGTTTTGCTCTTGCTTGTGCCCAGGCTGGAGTGCAGTAGCACGATCTCGGCTCACCACAACCTCCGCCTCCCAGGTTCAAGTGATTCTCCTGACTCAGCCTCCCAAGTAGCTGGAATTACAGGCATATGCCACCATGCTTGGCTAATTTTTTTTTTGTATTTTTAGTAGAGACGGGGTTTCTCCATGTTGGTCAGGCTGGTCTTGAACTCTTGACCTCAGGCGATCCACCTGCCTCAGCCTCCCAAAGTGCTGGGATTATAAGCATGAGCCTCCATGCCCAGCCTAAAATAAGGAAAGTCTTAACTGACTATTATGTAAACACATTTTGAAAATTGTATTGTGATATATTTGTATTGTTGGCTTTCTTTTAAAAGTTCAAGACATTGTAGAGATTTCTTTGTGCTACATATAGATTTATTTCTGAAAGGTTGTGTGTATGTTGAATCAAATTAAGCTAAGTGCATCATAGCTTGATCTTTAAAGAAATTGTATATTCTTTCCATGAAGTAAGAATTTAATTTGCGCTGGGTGAGGGGGTTCAGGCCTGTAATTCTAGCACTTTAGGAGGCTAAGACGGGTGAATCACTTGAGGTCAAGAGAGTGAGGCCAGCCTGGCTAACATGGTGAAACCTTGTCTCCACTAAAAATACAAAAATTACCCAGGTGTGGTAGCAGGCACCTGTAATCCTAGCTACTTGGGAGGCTGAGGGAATCACTTGAACCTGGGAGGCAGAGGTTGCTGTGACCCAAGATGATGCCACTGCACTCCAGCCTGGGCAACAGAGCGAGACTCCGTCACACACAAAAAATAATAATAATAAATAAAAAGAAAATAAATAAATAAGCAAATGAGATACATCTGAGCCAGACATGGTGGTGGCTTACATCTATCATCCCAACACTTTGGGAGGCTGAGGCAGGAGGATTGATTGAGGCCAGAAGTTTAACAAGACTTATCTCCGCAAAAAAAGGAAAAAGAGAGATAGATTTATATAGAGTCCTTGGTCTGTTAATCATGGGATTTTTTTTCTTTTGAAGTTAGGGTCTTAGAGAATTAGATAGAATAGAGAAACAATGTGATGAAGAACAAATTGCAACTACATTTGTCAACTAGCCGTCAGGCTGAGAAAAGTACAGAGTCGATTTTGTTATAAATCATTTCTTTTTTTGTTTGTTTGAGACAGGGTTTTACTTCTGTCACCCAAGCTAGTAGAGTACAATGGCATGGTCTCAGCTCACTGCAACCTCTGCCTTCCGGGCTCAACTAATTCTCCTGCCTCAGTCTTCCAAGTACCTGGGACAAAGGTACATGCCAGTGTGCCCAGCTAATTTTTTTTTTTTTTTTTTTTTTTTTTTTGTAGAGATGGGGTTTTGCCACATTGCCAAAGTGGTCTCAAAACTCCTGGCTTCAAGCAATCCACTCGATTAAGTGTTGGGATTACAGGCCTGAGCCACCACGCCCAGCCATAAATCATTTCTGAGAATAGGTACCTATAGTGCTGCTTATGTAGCTGGGTACTGAAGAAAAGGCAAAACATTATAAAGTTTCTATAGAAACCTGGAGTTGTGGGAGTGGGGAAATAAGGAAGGAAGAAGATGATGTGACTTGGCCGTATTGCTAAAGAGTTGTGCTATTTCATCATCCACTAAGGATCGAAGTCCAATAACCTTGGTCTTTGTTAAAACTTGGGGGCTGAATTCTCTTTGACATATTTATATGCTAAACACATTTAGGTCGGGTGCATTGGCTCATGCCTGTAATCCCAGGACTTTGGGAGACTAAGGCAGGCGGATCACCTGAGGTCAGGAGTTTGAGACCAGCCTGACCAACATGGTGAAACCCTGTCTCTACTAAAAATACAAAAAAATATAGCCAGGCATGGTGAAGCATGCCTGTAATCTCAGCTACTCAGGAGGCTGAGGCATGAGAATAACTTGAACCCCGGAGGGCGGAGGTTGCAGTGAGCCGAGATCACGCCATTGCCCTCCAGCCTGAGCAACAAGAGCAGAACTCTGTTTCAAAAAAAAAAAAGCCATTTGGTGATGGTCACATGTGAAATAGATCTTCAGAACCAAATGGAAAAGGCAGTTTGGGGCTACAAGAGTTCTACTGTTATACCTTCCTTTTTAGTAAATGGTCAGTCTACTTGATCATAGCATACTATATAAGGAAAGGTCTTAGAAGATGCATGCTAGTTCTGAGATTCTCAGTCTTAATGCTGCAAAATAATTTGTTTCTAATTTTACTTAAGATATAAAATTTGGCTGGGCACGGTGGCTCATACTTGTAATCCCAGCACTTTGGGAGGCCAAGGCAGCAGATCATTTGACATCAGGAGTATGAGACCATCCTGGCCAACGTGGTAAAACCCTGTATCTACTAAAAATACAAAAATTATCCGGGTGTGGTGGGGCACACCTGTAATCCCAGCTACTCAGGAGGCTGAGATAGGAGAATCACTTGAACCCTGGAGGCGGAGGTTGCAGTGAGCTGAGATTGTGCCACTGCACTCCAGCCTGGGCAACAGAGCAAGACTCTGTCTCAAAGAAAAGAAAAAAGATAACAAAATTTGCAAATGATTTGCTTTTTGTAAAATATAAATTGGAAAAAATTCAAGGCTATTCCTATGATGATATCACTTTTACTTGCTGTATTTGCATGCCTTTTTACACATAAAGAAAAGCAGTAAGATTATAAGGAGTTGGCAAAAAATATGTATAACTTCAGCTGTACTTGTGGGAATGTGAACATCTATGTGTCTTGGCAGAAAAAATGTACAAAACCTTTGACTAACTGGACCTCAGCTATGAGAGAAGATAGAAGTTAGGAAGATAGGCTTCATAGTTTTGGTCAAGCTTTTTGTTTTCCACAAGCCTTGCATTTCCCTTGTATAAAATAAGATTATAGGAGGATTAAATAAGACAATAATTGTAGAATCTCAAGTTATTATAGGCATTGTTAATGTTCTTGTGATATTAAATAAGTTCCTTAATTTCTTTGTTCCCCTGTTTTCCCTGTCTGTAGGATGGATATAATAATGTCTGCTCAACTCTACACTTTAGAACTACTTTGAGAATAAATATCTATAAAATAATTCAGGGCCAGGAGCAGTGGCTTATGCCTGTAATCCCAGCACTTTGGGGGACCAAGGTGGGCGGATCACTTGAGGCCAGGAGTTTGAGACCCTGTCCCTACTAAAAATAACAAAAAATTAGCCAGGCATGGTGGCACACACCTGTAACCCCAGCTACTCAAGACGCTGAGGCGCAAGAATTGCTTGAACCTGGGAGGTGGAGGTTGCAATGAGCTGAGATTGTGCCACTGCACTCTAGCCTAGGTGGCAAAGAGATTCTGTCTCAAAAATAAAAATAAAATAAAATAATAAAATAACTTGGAGCTCATTGGTCCTTAAATTTATCTCAGCTTTGTTAAAAGAAATATCCATTTGTTTATCTAGTTTATTTATTTATTATTATTTTTTTGAGATGGAGTTTCTTTTGATCTTGTTGCCCAGGCTGGAGAGGAAGCAATGGCACAGCCTCAGCTCACGGCAACCACCGCCTCCCATGTTCAAGTGATTCTCCTACCTCAGCCACCAGAGTAGCTGGGACTACAGATGCATACCACCACACCTGGCTAATTTTTGTATTTTTAGTAGAGATGGGGTTTTGCCATGTTAGCCAGGCTGGTCTCGAACTTTTGACCTCAGGAGATCCACCTGCCTTGGCCCCCCAAAGTGCTGGGATTACAGGCCTAAGCCTCACCACGCCCGGCCTGTTTATCCATTTTTTATTAATGGTCACTTGAACACTTTCCAGCTTGGAGTTAGTATTAATAAAGTAACTGGATATTTTTGTACAAGTGTTTTTGTTGGCATACGTTTTCATTTCTTTTTTTTTTTTTTTTTTTTTCTGGTTTAAAGACCTCAGAAAGATTTTCATTTCTGTTGGGTAAATTCATAGGAGTGGAATTGCAGGGTCAAAGGGTAGGTGCATATTTAGTTTTAAAAAAACTGCCAGGCTGGGCTCAGTGGCCCTTGTCTGTAATCCTAGCACTTTGGGAAGTTGAGGCGGGTGGATCACCTGAGGCCAGGAGTTTGAGACCAGCCTGGCCAACATGGCAAAACCCC